AGTCTTTGAAATGCTTTTGGAAAGTGTTAAGAAGTTTCTGGCAGGTATCTCCTTGTTTGCAGTCCATTCTTTCTTTTTCTGGAGGTATCAAAGACATCAACTCTGTGGTCTGTTTGTTTTACTGTTTCAGACCTGTGGTGAACATCCCTTAAAATCCATTTTTATAGTGACTATATGCCCTGGAGAGGGGCCTCCTTAACTGCTGGAACACCAGTGCTTTTTTTTATAATTATAGTTAAATTACCAATGTTCTTTCCACTGTGGCACACTTATTGTTGATGAATGCCAAGCTTTCAGTGTTGGCTTTCATTTTCATTGAAAATGCTGACAGTAATAGGTGTTGCCTTTGGGCAAGTGAGGTTTTTTTTCTGTGTTCAGGTACTTTATTATTCAAGTTATTGATATCTGCTATGAATTTCACATCAATATGTTACGGTAGAAGTGATGACTTACCCTCCAGCTGATTTGAGGCCTTTAACCTTGATTTTTCTGATGTTTTTTTCTCATCTGTTTACATGGAAGAAACCAGTAGAAAGCATGGAAGTACCATAGTAGTGGTCCTAATATGGACATAAAGAATTTAATTCTGCTATTGATGGTAATTAGTGATTCTTTATCTCTGACATAATGTGGTAGCATAGTGTCATGGTAACGTTTGTATCCATTGCTTGCTTAATTTAGTGAATTAAATTTAGGCATTGCACTGAAATGCCAGCAAACTGTAGTCATCTGGTCACATTTCAAAGTGTAAAAAATCATTTATTTACTTACAGAAAAGATGTTTTCAGTCATTACAGCTGTACTAATAGTTACCTGTATTCTGATACTGACACTACACTTAATATTCTCACTGCAGAAATCCTTATCCATCTGGGTATCTGAACATTTTTTTTCCCCTTCCTGGTGGTGGTCCTTGTCAAGCAAACCACAGAACCGGATGGAAACTGAAGTTGGCATTTGTAATGCAAACACATTAACATAATCCTTTAAAAAAAAAAAAGGTGTGGAGGTTTCTCAGCCTCTCTTTTAATAGTAAGAAGAGACAGGAAAAAGTAGAATTAGTAGATAACTGAAATTTGGCAACAAATGTTAATAAAGCAATAAGGATAATGGAAGTTAATGGTCTGCATTTACCTGTATCTTTGTAATTTAAGACATGAAGTTTTCTTTTGTTATTCGTTTGCATTTTAATTGTCTTTAGAGTTCTTTAGAGACATGGCATGCAGAGGATTTTACTGGATTGCATGGTAAAGCATATATTATTAACTATTTGGTACCAGTTACTGAACAGTGATTTATTTAGTTATTTATTAATCTCAGAATGATGTTTTAAAGCCAATGAAATAGGATAGCACTTTCAGAAAACATCTGTAAATTTTGAACTGAAATAATACTTCTTCAAAAATTCAAACTTGACACTTAAAAAAATCTCAGAGTAGTTAGGTGTACTTGCCTTCTGCAGTAGTATTAAAATGAAAAAAGGAAATGGATTAAAGGGCATAAACTTTCCTTTACCTAGTAACCACTAAAATAAGTATTAAAAAACTTCAGTAAGGATTGTATGTACAAAGTTGCCTAGATGGTGGTTAGATATGGTTCTGTTATCGTTGCAGTGGTGTATTTCCTAATCTTAGTAAAGCAATAACTCTCCATATATTCAGATTTATAAACCCATTTTTCTTGGTTTATGTGGAACTTGGGGGAGACACATATGGTACTGAAGATGGAAAAATGTTTCCAAGTGGGGTGGGTTTTGTTTGTTTGGTTTGGTTTGTTGTTGGGTTTTTTTGGTTGGTTTTTTTTTAATTTTTCAAATAATAGTATTTACAGTAAAGTCTTGACTTAGAATTTTCTTATGGTTATGAAAGAAAGTAAAAAAATGTGTGTATGTTGAAAAACATGCTTGTGAATAAAGTAATTTCTCTTAGTTGAACAAGCGTCTTTACACTTGATAGTTCTGTGATTTTTGTTTTGGTTCAGAACAGTAAGAATGAAACCTTGTTTACAGTTTTTAAATGAGCACTCATTAGAGCTTCAATCTATATTAATGAAAACTGTTGGAATTCAGTATTTCTATTATGCAAAGTTTTGCTAGCTTAGATTTTTCAATGAAGTTTTTTCATGAAGTAGTGTAGGCAAGTATGGCTTTGCTTCTCTGGAATTATTGTATTGACTAAGTCTGCGATGACTTGAAGTATTACATTTCAGGGTGATGTTTCAAGTTACTAATATAAGTATGAAGATTCTGTGAAGCATATAGAGTGTGACAAAGCAACTTTGTTAATATGACATAGTATATGAATGGAAACTGTTGTCTTTACAGCACTGACTTGTTTTCTTCAAAATTAAGTATAGTTAAAATACTCTATTCTCTCTTTGCTCATCATATTCATCTGTCTTACCAACATTCTTTTGTCTTACAAGCCATCTGTTAATGGTATTTCTTATATGCAGTTTGATACTTATTAGATAAAAAATAATAATGTTGAAATTACAGTATATGTTTCTACAGTGTTACTTTAAAATATATTCTAGTTTCAGTAGCAGAATTGGGTTTTTTTCTTTTTAGTGCTTACTGTTGTTATTTCTCATGTTGAATGTGCAACCTGAATGGAGAATTTGACTCTGGGAGCTTTGTCTCAAAGAATTAATTTCAAATCTGGAATGTTCGAAGGTTTTTTCTTTCAGACTTTTCAGTCATTTTCAGTATATTAATTTGGTTTTTATTATGTTGTATGAGGTGGTTTTTAAAGGAACCACAGATACAATTTTTATAATCAATTACTTTCTTATTTCTTTTTCCTAGTATTTTTGGTGAGTTGTTCAAGACAGTAAGTAGTCTGCTGACTCTAAGGCAATTCATGTTTTTCTAAAATTTTTAGACTGTGCTCAATAATTCAGTAACGTGCCATTATTGCCTATTTAATGTATTCTTGCCATTAAACTTTCATTTCCTTTTGTACAGTTAAATGTCATTGAAGACTGAACTATATCAAGTTTGTCTTGTATTAAGATGAGCGATTCAACAGTCCAAGCTTGAAATTCTAACGGAGCAGGTTAAACTTCATGTCAATAAAACTGAAAATATAGGTATTACTACTGTGTTTGCACTGGTATGAAACTATATAGGTAGATACTACTGTTTCAAAATCTTGATATTTATATATTAAGATCCATCATGTTGGTTTCTTCTTTTTGCCTTTCTAAATGAACATTACAAGCTGACAAAAGAATACAGCTGTTATGCTACTGAGGCTTTAATGAAGAAGAGAGGATTGCTTGGAAAATAAGTTTCTTAGGAGGAAAACTTACATTATATAAAGTTTTTGATCATACTTCTAAAAAGCAATTTTTAAATGACTGTTTACATACCTCCCATCAGTTAGAGCAGGAAAATCCAAGTGAAATATTAGGCCTCTTTCCAATGGAAGATATTTTCAGCCTTGTTACTCTTGCATGTAGCTTGTGAAATGACAGTCTTTTAAGTACTCGACAGTATCCAAACACTACGGAAATGTTATGAATAGAACATCCACCTAAATTTCCTTTCTTTATTCTGCAATTTGTTGACTATTTTCTGAAGAATCATTTTTGGGTTTAGTCTAATCTCAAAAATAAATTGTTTATACGATTTCTCTGTATGTGTCTTTCCCCTAATTAGTTTCCAGGTTGGTTGTTATTTTGCAGAGAGATAGGGATCTCAAAGATATTGAGTAATTAGAAATGTGATACTAGGCAGAGTCTCAAATTAGAGACTCAAGTATGGGGAAAGGTTGAAGCATGAGCTCTGCTGTATTAAGAATCAGAATCCGCATGGAAGAGAGTCATTACAAGTAAAAGCCACAGGGAGCTAGGCTGCGTGATTTATTTTTGTAGTTCAGGGAATAACTTGTGTCTTTTGTTCTTGGGTTTTGATATGTACAGCACAACACTTTCATCAGCTACAATTCAGTATCAGCAGAACTAGTTTAATCGTGTACTAGCTGTTTTTTTAACAGTGATTTGGGACTTCATATCTTTGTGGATATAAACAACCACAACAGAAGAAAACAGCAGACTGAAACTTACTTGCTTCGAGGCAAACTAATATTTCCCTTAGTAGCTTTCATCCTTCCCATGTTTGCAAATGAATTGTTCTAAAAATATTTTTTTCATATGGGGGAAAAATGCCACATTTTTCTATTTGAAAGGGTTATGCCAAACTTTTAATGATGACTGCTGGGATGGAAGTCAATCTCAGTTTCACTTCTAGACTTCCATACTTCCTAATGGAAAAAAAGACTTCTGTTGTTCCATGGTGTTTTTCTTACTAATAATTTTTCAAAGCTGTTTGTCAGTTAACTGGGGCAGGTGAGTGGATATGCCATTTTTATAAGTTCTGTGAGATTACGTAGTTGAGAGAGCGCCCCAAATAAGTGTACCTAGTACAGGAAGCCTGAGGCATGAGCTGAGCTATGTGGCTAGGCATTAAAGAATCCACAAAGAAGACGCATCTATAATAAAAGGCAAAGAAAATAAGATGTCATACTATATAATTTTGTCATTGGTAGTTATGCATAATGCAGATTTTACAGATAAAATATATGTACATAATATGGGGGACATGACATCACTTGAACAGAGTGGGGCATTATAGTCAGATTCTTACAGCAATCTAATTTTCAGTATGTCTTTTCACAGAATGTGTTTTACAAAATTAATCATTTATTAGAAGGAAAATGTCCAAGATATTTGGAAATTTTATAAAGTCAGTAGTAAAGTCTATTAATGGCAAATCTTCACCATTGGAAAGGGATCATTTAATGGAAAAGTGTGCCACCACCTTACGTTGATATGAGCTTGCAGGCATGTAAACATTAATACATAAAAATGTCATATTTGAAAGCAGGACAGCACTAGAAAATTTTCCAGTTCTAACCTTTGTACTGAGTTTTCTTTACTTTTTTTTTTTACTGTTAGATTGGATTACATTTGAATCATTTTCCTTAACAAAACCTTACAGCTTTGCTGAGAGTGCCCGAGAACAATATGAAAAATTGTCCAACATGCACAACAACATGACTAAATTGTATGAAAATTTGGGAGAATACTTCGCTTTTGATCCCAAAGCAATAACCATAGAAGAATTCTTTGGCGATCTGAGCAACTTCAGAACTCTATTTTTGGTGAGTAATGTCTGCAAAACATTATACATAATCTTATTTCTTCTTTCTCCCAATTTTAATTCTTTCCTCTTCTCTGTATTTCTCATGTTATAGTTAACTTCATGTTTTGTTCTATGGCAGGAAATTGGATTAATGTTTCCAGAATTATTTAGATTTTGGTCACTGATAGCTATCATCCTCCAGTTTGTAACTTGCAAACTCAACTGTTAATGTGGTTGAGACATATGGATAATTAGAAAATATTTTTCCTCTTTTAAAAACCTTGTCTGTTGGTTGACGCACGACAAACAGGCGTGATACTGAAAAACGTGTTAAAATCAAGACCTGAATGGACCTGTCTACATTCATCTGGCTGATGCCTTAATGATGCTGTGATGCTAAGGCTGAGACTTTCAAGATGAGCTCTGTATTGCTGACAGAACTCATGAAGTTCACTTAGATGCTTATATTACTATTTCCAGTCATCCAGTGTGGTTGATGTCAGGGTATGGCTTTTTTATGAAGGAATTTAAAAATTTAATTTTAAACAGCTAAGTTTTTTTTTTTAATGGGTTTAATGTCACCTTTCCTAGTGGCTCTCTGGAAGCCATAATTAGCTGCACCATAGGAAGCGTACAGGGAAAACAGATGCCTAGAATGTCACATTATGTCTCTAGAGAATATTAACATCACTTGGAAATACCACTGTTTACCATACAGCTGTGGCTCACTGATCTGTGTGTTGCCAGTAGCTGGCTTAATTTGTCATGTAATCACAAGGACTTTCAGTTTCAGTGTGATGGAGGAAGAACTACTTTAAACCTTAATTTTCATACCAAGTTTACTTTATTAGAAAACTTTCACTACAATGTATTTAACTATTCATTTTAAATTTGCTGATATTCTTTTTTTTTTCCGTAAGCAAATCACCAATTCTTTTATAATTAGGAAGTATGCCAACGCATCTGCGTGAAGACTTGTCAAGAAGAGGAATAGTCATCATGAGATATTTCAGTGCATTTACTTTTTCATAAATCCAAGGTTTACATTTTCAAATGTGGATATCTGAATTTGGAAATCGACTCCATTGTAACTACTTGAAACAGACTTCAGACTGGCAATGTCCAAATATTGTGATGAAAGTCTGTCCTCAAGTGAGTATTTAAACTGCTGTGAAAGTGATAGGAGCTAGAGGGCAAATGTTTTCTAGAAGGCATGTTAGAATGAAAATACTTCCAATTGCTTACTTTTATTTTCCTTCCTTTTGACTTCCTAAAGATCTGGCTGATGGCCTGTTGCTCTTCAGTGGTTATAATTGAATTTCCAGGGAGAGTATTTATAAGAGAATCATGTATTGCTATGGATTGTCTGAGTAATACCGGTGGGGGTGGTGGTGGTGGGTGGGAAAAAGTGATATTTCAGGTTTTCAGTGGGTAAATGTGAGAAATTAAATATGAAGTGCAACAATTCTTCTAATAATAAAGCTGGAATATTTTTGTGGCCTGTCCAAGTGAACCAAAAGCAGAAAAGAAACTATTATGTGTACATCACAGTGCCAGGAACAGATGAAATTGGCATTGTTTCAGGTTTAGAATGAGTTTCTGTAAGTAATTCTGTAAGAGTGAAGTGTTGAATTCAGGAGTGAGGGTTTTACTGAATTATATATGAGAGATCTTCATTTTGCAGCAAAAAGCTGTACTTAAGACTTTAAATAGTCTTAAGTGATATTGATATATCAATCAGAGAGTGATATATATCACTGATATTGATATATCAGATATATCAATATAGTGAGTGATATTAAGATAGTGATAATAATTTGACTTTTCTCAGTGTCATGAACTTTGGACTATATGATATAGTGTTAATGGTACACGTTTTCATATTATGATTTCAGTAACACTTGTTCTTTTCAGTGTTTTTGCGTGGATATAACTGATTGGGTGTTGATAACTGTTTGGATAAGGAGATGAAATACAATCTAGATGGCTACATTTTATCCATGTTTATTGATTGCTAGTTAAGGAGAGAGGAATTCTGTGAGATTTATCTGTGTATCTTTGTACAGAGGGCAAATCTCTTGAGTTTCAAGGTATAATAGTTTTATATTTTCTACATTAACGTGTATTCTATAGAAATAAATGGTTATTCCATCCTTTAGCCTTTAATATAATGGCTATATGATGTATGGTTATAATAGCTAATGCTTTACCTATGTCCATTATTTTGATAACTTAAAGAACAAAGGGGCAAATGAAGAAAAATCTTGGATTAAAAGCACTGGTTATGAAGGAATCACCACAAGACTTGTGGTGCCAAAATTTCGAATGTACAGACATGCAATGCATTTTCTGATGATCTAAGTTCTACTACCTGCAAAGACAGAACCCGGGTTGATTTATGATTATTTTTAAACTTTCTATACAATATCAACACTATGTTGCCGGCTATCCATGTCTAAGTTCATGGAATTATGTTGGTTGGACTTCCAGAGATTATGTAGTTTGACTTTCTGCTCAAAGCAAGATCAAGTTAGAGCAGGTTGCACAGGGCCTTTTTCAGCCTCTCTGGGTCCATTTTCTAGTGTTTGATCACACTTGTGGTGGGCAAATAAATAACTGAATAATATTTCCCATGTTCCGATTTTCATCCATCACCTCTTGTTCTATCACTGTGCACCTCTGAGAAGAATCTAGTTCTGTCTTCTCTACACCTTCCCATTATATCATAGACAGCAATTAGGTCTTTGCAGAGCCTTCTCTTCTTACAGCTGAACAAACTCATTTCTCTCATCTTGTGCCTGTCATGTGCTCCAGCCTCCTCATCATCTTAGTATCATCTGCTGGACTGACTCCAGTGTGTCTATATCTGTCTTATACTGGAGAGCCCAACCTGGACACAGAACTGCAGATGTGCTCTTGGAAGTACCAGTAGAGTAGAAGAATCACTTCCTTTAACCTGCTTATTACAGTTTTACATAGCCCAGTGTGCATTCAACCTTCTCTGCTGTAAGGCCACAATGCTGCCTCATATTCAGCCAGTTCCCATGAGGACCTTAATTTTTCTGCAAAACGGCTTTCTAGGATTGCATTTACATTTTATGTTAGTGGCGTTTAGGGCTAAGTAGAAGCCTTGTAATGCAAGCCCATAGTATACAAAAACTCTAGAGGTTGACCAGGGGGAGGGTTGCTTTATTTTTTTGTCTGTCCCGTGTCCCCCCCTTCTTTTTTTGGTTGAATTTCATTAGAAGTATTTGTGAGAGTAGCCTGTCTAGTTTAGGTTTCAGTGCATCTCTGATGCCTGTACTTAAGAGGTGATTCTTGTTTGGCCTGAATTGTCCTAATTTTTTTTCCCCAAAATATTTTCTAATTTACCTCTTTTAAATGAGGTCCTGTTTTAGGAACATTTAGTGAAATACTTTATTCACGTGCTTCCCAATCTAGATTGTTCAGGTGGCGTATTTAGTCACAGAAGAATTTTTATTTGAATTGAGAGTAAATTTTTCTTCAGTATGAATTTACTTCATTTGTACTTATAACAAAGCGCCAGAAACCCAATTCTCACTGTTTTAGGAATCTGTCAAAAATTAGGACAGTTCTAATTTTATTTTTAAGCGCTGAAATAGCTATAGCAATCAGAGTAATGAAGCTATTGAGACTGCTTGTGCAAACTACTGTTAATTATTATTTACGCATAATCCTCTGGCTAATGCTATATACACGTGTATGCATCTTCTGCAAATACTTCTCTATGGATATGGAACAGTGGTGTAAATTGTATAAGCTACCGTAATCAGTTATACTGAGAAATATTATCTGGGTTTTATTTGCCAGAATCTCCTTTACTTTGCTCTTTATATGTAAGTGTACAAATACCTGCCGCCTTCTGCGTACTAGACAGTACTCAAAGCAGACAGCAGATTTGCCTTGATTTTATTATTGTTGTTGTTATTTAATAGGAGGGGAAGAGGCTGTTGTGAAAGGGTTTGGCACAGTTAAAACGCTCTCTGTAGCTGAACCCTTTTCTTCTGCTAGATTTGATCTTGAGCGAGTAGGTTTTGTGTATTTTCAGCAGATTGTAACTGCTCTGCTTTTTTCAAATATAATCCGTCTTTTGTATTTTATTTATATACTAAATCAGTTTCAATGGACTCTCCTTCTTTTTAAAATTTTGATACAAGGAGTAGCTATGGACAAATCAAGAGTAAGTGCCTCCTGCTAGGCACTATGTAGATGTGAACTAGTGGTCACTTGTTACTGAGGATCACAATAACCTCACGCATACATTCTTACAATCCTTGGTATGAGATTGTCATGTTCTGATAACATCTCATCAAAACCATTCATCTTGTGGTGTAAATACACTCAACAAATTAATGTATTGCAAGATGTTAATGTCTCATTACCTAATTGACATAAAGTGCCTTCTGTGTTAAGGGGAAATCATTATAGATGCAAACTTCTGTTACTTCTCCTGGCAAAAGTCACAATCCAGCAGGTGTTTCAGGGACTGGGGACCTTTCTGCTTTTGGAGTTTCTACAAACCTATGTATGGTCAGTTCTTCTTAGGATATTTATATGATATTTACATTTTACCTAATAATAACAAACTGCAATAAAATGCTTTTCTAGGGTGGAAAATTATCCCAAAGACTAAGTCTCTGTAAATTAATCTAGTTTATCAAAACAGAACTGTCAAGTTCTGTATTCTGTTTGGAATATTAAACTTGCATTCCAAATAGAAAAGACAGACCACAAATAGTCTTTCTGAATTTCTGGAGAAGTAGGGTTAATTTCTTGCATTGTTTTATAATTTTAGAAGGTGGAAAAAAAAATTTGCTAGGATACTGTTCTAATGCTACATGTTGGTCTAAATAGTTAATTATATCCATCTGATGCTATGGTCTTTAAAATTTTTATCTGTCCTTTTATCTTCTAAGCCTCCTTCCTTTTTAAAAAAAAAATATTAAATAAGGAAATGAATTTGGACCATATGTATGATGTATACTAATTTAAATAGTA